ATAATATATATATAGATAAAGTTATACTGACACGGTAGTAATTTTGACTCTGTTTATTGCATACGTATTGCATACATGCATTTGTATGGAGCGAAGGCTCACACTCATCAGTGCCTAATACAGAGTGATCTATTTAGAACATCCCGAGCAGTATAAACACATCATGCATAATGTGATCTATTGTTCGTATTCATGCGTGCGCGTTCTAAAGAAATACCATAGATACTAATTAGCGCGTCATTGCCGGTGACTGCTGCGCGCTGGCGCTAAACTGAATTCATTGTAAGAATTCACATAACGTTCCTTAATAAAATTTATCTTTATGTCTGCATTTACTAACAAGTTCGTTTCTCTTGTTCAGTGTCGCGGTCTCAGGTTTGCACAATATGTACAACTTCTCTGTTAAGCATAGGTTGCATTTCTTCGTAGTGTTCGAGTAGTGTGGCGCTTTGCTCAGTATCTTTCATTTGATCGCGTAGTCTAGGTTGTTGTCTTTCAAGTTCCAAATATGTAAGTTCTGTCGAGTTCCGTTTTGATTCCGTAGTGAAGGATGCCTTATGGTTCGCTAGTCTTGCTTTGAAGGAGGTAGCTGTTAGTCCGACGTATGTTTCTGTCTTGTTTTCGCTTGTCACAGTTGCTCGGTCTACTATGTTTTAGCAAGGCAGTTTCCATCCAGGGGGCACGTTACGTTTTTCGGGCTGTTGCATTTTCTGTTGTTTACCGTTTCCGTGTTGATCTACTGTATTCTTCTGTTGTTTCCCTCTATTATATTCTTCACGTTTGGCATGCAGCTGTACGAGATCTTAACATTGTTCTTATTGAAAATCTTGTGGAGTTTGTTTTCTGGAGGGAAGCACTTGTTTAAAATTTGTAAAAATTCCTTGCCGACGTTTGTATTTACATTCTGGTAACACACTGTATATATATATGCCGTGTGTATATATTTGTGCGTGCGTGCGTGCATGCGTGCGTGCGTGCGTGCGTGCGTGCGTGCGTTTTTCATACACAGTACGACCCATATTACCAGGAAATGTTGCTCATTCTGTAGCATTGGTGAGACACGCCGCCCACCGACCGTCACTAGATTGGAATATCTATTGAAGACAACAATGAGATCCGAAGTCGTGCTGCTTACTGTGTGCCTCGTGACATGTTGCATTGTAAGTAAACGCAAAACAGGAAGACATAGTTAGCGAGACCGGTGGTGAGAAAGAGAGCGAGAGCAAGAACGAAGGAGGTGGAGTCAATGAGTGCGGCGGAAGAAAGGGGAAGAAAATGAGTGATGAAGAAGTGGGAGGGATGGAGGGAGGGAGGGGAAGGAGGGAGAATAGCCGTAACTAACCAGATATCGTGTAGCGCAAGCGCCGAGATTTGTGCCCGTAGTGCTTACTCTGCGTATTTTGAAATGCGTCAGTAACAGAAAGCAGGAAGATATAAGTAGCGTGGCCGAAGCTAGAGTTAAAGAGGAGCACGAGAGTGAGAGAGAGATATAGAATTAATGGAATGAGACACACGCGCGCGCATATAGACATAGAAAGTGTGATAAAGAAAGAGGAAGTGTAACAGAAGGCGAGATAGATAGATAGATAGATAGATAGATAGATAGATAGATAGATAGATAGATAGATAGATAGATAGATAGATATAGATATATAGTACCTAGATAAGATAGAGTGATGTAGATAGATGAGATAGATAGATAGATAGAATAGATAGATGATTAGATACGATAGATAGACTAGATAGATAAGATAGAGTAGTGGCAGAATTGGAAGGATGAATGGAGTGAATAGATAGATTGGGATAAGGATGGACGGCACGGACGATGGACGGACGGGGATAAGATAATAGATAGATAGAATAATGAGTAGATAGATAGATAGATAGATAGATAGATAGATAAGATGATAGATAAGATTAGATAGATATGATAGATAGATAGTAGTCAGATAGATAGATATAGATAGATAAGATAGATAGAATAGATAGATAGAAGATAGATAAGATAGATGTAGATCAGAATGATTAGAATAGATACGATAGATAGATAGATAGGATAGGAAGATATAGATAGATAGATAGATAGAATAGTAGATAGATAGATAGATAGATAGATAGATAGATAGAGTGAGAGAGAGAGAGAGATAGAAAGAAAGAAAGAGAGAGAGAGAGAGAGAGAGAGAGAGAGAGGGCGCGAAGAAGAAGTAGAAACAGATAGGCACCGAAATGAAGAGAAAGCGCTAGATTTGTGAGAGACTTTATAAGCATTTTTTGCCTTCAGGTAGAAAGAGATGCGTCTACTGGCCCATGTACAGTGATAGAAGAAAACCCAAACAACGGCAAGGTAGCAGCATGGTGCTACAAGCTATGTGGGTGCGACAACTGTGAATGTCTGTCAACAGATACATGCTGCCTTGCTCCGACTCGCATTATGAGTTCATCAAAAATTGTTAGATTGTGTAACGAAATTTGTGGTTGCTGTCAATGCATATGTGTCGAAGATGTTCGCTAACGAGAATCTTTTTTGACGTTTTCAAATATAACCTCTTTACGAAGTTACCGTCAAATCCTTTTTGTTTTCGTTATAATGTTCAGTTTATATACGCCATTGATAATAAACATTGATATCACGTCGAAAATGTGCAGAAAAATCAGAAGAAATATGCATAACACATGCTCTAATACCAAGATATTTGCAATTAATATTAGAATAACCCTATCTCCTCTGCCTAATCCTATTCTATAAACGGATTATTTCCTGGAAACCGTTAAAGGTCTTCCCTCGTCGTTACTTATATTATTTAGCCGCTACCTACGATGACGGTACCGAGACCAGACCTAATAAAAAGGCTGGTGGGATTGATGTAGTTTAGATGTATACGATTGCAGATATCAGTAGTGTAGAAGCGAGATTGGTTGGTTCGGCTCATGAGGAGTTCGAGGCATATATAGCCAAGATAGGGAATGGAGCGCCATGACACGGTTTTGTCAATACTATTGCTGCTATATATATTTTCTCACCCTGTTCTCTGGCAGAACACTCCAGCAAACATTGGTTCTGGTATGTGTTTCCATCCGTGCCACACACCTTGCGGATGGAGCGAGGACAAGTGCATGGGGCGACAGTCGTCGTTTCCTGGCATTCTCCGTCATGGTCTACGCGAATTCTAATACCTAAACAAATTTGGAAGATCACATAGTTGGATGATTCGCAAGAGATAATAACATTAACGTTGTTTATCTGTACGTTTGCTGTTTTAGTAAAGATTGTCTACACTTTTATAAGCGTGATGTGCGCACTATAGCACTATAGCTCTCACTATAAAAGACGGGGCGTCCCTGTTTACATTTACAACATGACAAGAAGCTCCATCCATTATTTAGACTGGTTAATCGTCGTTTTTCTGCATGAAAAAGACGAGGAGCAAGTTTAACAGCGTGGCATCTGTGGACAAGCTCTGAATTGTGGGAATTATATGGAAATATCGTGTAGGGGTTAATATACACCCAGAGATTTCACCGAGTATGTGCGACCCAGGACACGTCACGTACCTTGTTCTCTGGCAGCACACTCCAGCATACAAGGGTTCGGGTATGTGTTTCCATCTGTACCGCAGACTTCCCGAATTGCACCAAGGCAATTGCAAGGGGCAGCCGTAGATGATTGTTCACATTTGCCATCATGGTCAACCGCTAGACCCTCGTTCCCTGAAGCAATACTCTGCAAATTCACTGCATAATGCTATAAAATAACGACTATCTTAAAATTCATAAAGATTTTAGAAGGCGTAGGAATAAGGAACCGCGGGTGACTAGTGGTTACGTTCAATTAATACAGATATATTGGTTGGTTCGTAGAGTGTCAGTCGGCGTTGTATTTATCTGCTTTGATGTTAAATAAAAGGTGACCCCGTGAGCGCTTGCATGCTAATATGTTATACTAGACTGGTACCCGGCGTTGCTCGGTGAAAAACGCGTAGGAACAACTTTTAAGAGCAAATTCAGCCACTTATACTTACTTAATTCTAAAATATTTTCACCCCCCCTTCACCCATACGATTCCCATCAGAAAGGAAAGAGAAGCGTACTGGATTCACAATCTAGCCTAAAACACTAGCCACAATCTAGCCACAAACACTATCCAGCCACATGGACTCAATCTACGGGTAGAGATTCCGGGATGGATAGAAGACAGTAATCACCCACCCACCGGCATGGTATACACGCAAGGCTAATTCTCAGCCGACACTCTAGGGTAGCGGGTGGCTCGGTTTACCTTTTTATTACCTTTTTTAACTTAATTCTAAGAATAGATTCGTAACAGAGAAACAAAGCAATATTCTGACAAAAACATATAGCACGCGGTATCAGTTCAGGGTCACTTTAATCGTAAAATAATGAGCTGATTTAAAAAAGTTAATATTTCTCAAAACGTATGGATATCACCTCATTTTGACCAAATTAGTTGGTAAATTTGGCAGAGTTCTGCACCAGTGAAGTCACCATAGATGACATTATCAAAAAGATTAATAGCACCTGATTTTAACAAACTTAATTCTTTATACCATGTTATACATTCTATCCGAATGTATACACAGACAAATTACAATTTAAAAAATACAAATGAACGAAAATGACCCACTAAAGGGTGCCATTAAATATATACGACATTGACGTAGTGACTTTCTACTTTCATCGATGATGCTGTCTACACAGACAAGCATCCTGTTCGCGGGGAATGAACAGGTTAATAAGCTAGTATGTATATATATCTTCATATATATATATATATATATATTGGAAGCCCATTTGATCAAACGTGTCCCATGTCCCTCTGCGCTCGTGCAATTTCTGCGAAGGAACCGTGTCGACCAAACTGCACTCGGACAAAATGGCAGATGCAAATTCTGTGCCACGAGGCAGGTAACGCGATTGGCGATCTGCCTCATTAGCACCATGATAGCAATATGTGCAATTCGAAATTATCCTTCGAATAAGACGAAAATAAGGACGAAACGATGCATTGCGCTGTAGCTGTGTGTTAGCAGACCACAGAGAACTGTATTACAGTAGCGGAGCACTATACCCGCGTGCACGCACCTGCTGCTGCAGAGGCGCATTCGAGCTGGCAGGCGTTCTGGTACGTCTGTCCGTCCGTGCCGCAGACAGGCCGCACGTAGCGAGGACACTGGCACGGCGCCGTGGTCGTCATTGTCACGCACTCTCCTTCGTAGTCAACTATCAGGCTCGGATTACCTGCAACCAACGATCGAGTAGTTACGTCAGGGTGGCGCGAGTGAGACGTGCTTAATTGTTGTTGTTGTTTTTGTTGGTAATAATGTCTGTCTTCGACGTAACAGTCCCAACATGTTAATAGTGTAGGCTTGGTTTAGAGCGATATTATCATATCACCTTATTTTATTTTACCTTATTTTGTTTGTATTATACCTTTATACCCCAACGGCATAATGTAGGCTTAAGTTCCAACGATGCTATGTAGGTTTCAATCACACCACGCAGTTTCCCCCATACCACCCATTCTCGAATAAGAGAGAATAGCACATGAACACCAATGGAATAATAACCATTATATATATATATATATACGCGCACACACGCGCCCCCCTACACACACACGAACATACACACCCACGCACACACACGCACGCACACACACACACACACACACACACAC